AGCTGTGTTGAGGGACTGGTGCTGCTCTACCACCCTGGAAGCACACATTTGCGAAAAACAAGACACAAGACTGACAGCAGCTCTCCAAAACAGAAACTGATAATACCATGCTAATGATAGTGCAGTTATGCACCCATATAACATGGTCCTGAACTGATCCTGAGCAGAATTGGCTTTAAGATACATAAAAAAACAAAACAAAACAAAACAAAAACCTACCAAAAATAAAGCATTATGTTTATAGTTGTGTCATGGTTTAACCCCAGCTGGCAACTAAGCCCCACATAGCTGCTTGCTGACTCTCCCTCAGTAGGATGGGGGAGAGACTTGGAAGGGTAAAACTGAGAAAACTCATGGCTTTACATAAGTACAATTTAAGAGGTGAAGCATGCAAGCAAAGCAAAACAAGGAATTCATCCACTGCTTCCCATTGGCAGGCAAGTGTTCAGCCATCTCCAGGGAAGCAGGGCTCCAGCATATTTAACAGTTACCTGGGAAGACAAGCACTATAGCTCCAAATGTCCCCCTCTGCTTTCTTCTTGCCCCAGCTTTATATGCTGATCGTGATGTTATATGGTATGTCATAGCCCCTTGATCAGCTGGGGTCAGCTGTCCTGGCTGTGTCTCCTCCCAGCTTCTTGTGCACCTCCAGCCTGCTCACTGTGGGAGTGGGGCGAGAAGTAGAAAAGGCCTTGACTCTGTAAGTGCAGCTCAGCATTAACAAAAACATCCCTGTGTTATCAATACTGTTTTCAGCACAAATCCAAAACACAGCCCCATACTAGCTACTACGAAGAAAATTAACTACTCTAGTCAAAACCGGCAGAAGTTGCAACAACATAACTTTATATCGTTAAGCTATGGCGACTATTAGCATTTCTGGTACAGCATGCTTCAGTCAACAGCAATTGATTCTAGGGAGGAACAAGGAAGCTGATTTAAAATAATTTCCTCAGAAACAGTAAGTGTGTTGTCTTGCATTGCTGAGCTGTGGGTTTGTTTAAAATCGGGCATGTCTGTTTTACAAAAGGGTCTTAGTCATTCTCTGACAGCTGATATGAAGCAAAGGCTGCTTGGTAAAGGAAAGCTTATATTAAAAACATCTTCTGGGACTCTGCAATGCTTACAGAAAGCTGTCAGTATAAAATGGTATTTTTAATGAGACTGCTGATATTGAAAACCTTTACAGTTTTATAAATAGTATTCCTAGAAAAATGGAGCTAGGGGTTAGAAATTATTATGCTTCATTGATTGCAAATTTGAACTGTTTATTCTTACTTGGCATTAAAGTGCAGAATTTCCGTTCTGTGTGTGGTACTTTCTGAAATGACCACCTTCTCATTTCCCTTTGTTAAATGATGTTTCCATCTTGGGCACAGCTTTACCTTGTATCTGACTCCTCTGTGTATTTGCAGCAGTAAGCATGCTGAAGGACTTTAAAGCTGACTTTTAAACTCTTATTTCACTGCTTGGTTTGCACTGGTCCTGTTCTCTTTCTTCTGTGAAAAGTCTGATCAGTCTCCAAGATGCTTTCTCCCTACACTGCTGGGTCCTATGGCAACTTTCAAGGAGGGAGCAGGATTTCCTCAACTGCTAAGATTTTTTGCAAGTAGATGTGAATTTGTGACCAGGCCTGAAACAAGAAGTGCAAGGAGCTCTTCAGGCCCCTAGTAAAACAGGCAAGTACCAGTAATCCTGCCCATGTAACAGCCATTCCTCCCCAGATGTTGGGCTGGAAGTACTCCAAGTAAAAAGGTAGTGAGAGAGATTATTACACTGATCCTGCTCAGTTTCTTTGGTCTTAAGCAGCCAAGAGATATCCCCCTCACTCAGAAGAAAGGTTCAGTATCAACTTTTGCCTGAAGTTTTGATTTAATACAAACAGCTCTTTAATCCGTTCATTTCAAAATGCAATCCAAATAGCTGGCGAGGGACTCCACTATTTAACAGCAGCATCTTCAAGAAAGTTTCCAAGAACTCAGAAACTTAGTGAAAGAAACATGGTGATTTTAGCATTGAAAGAGCGAGAAAACCATTACAAGGAATTCAGTGGTTTGAGTACCTGTTTGTTTACCACACGCAAGAAAAGTACCACTGCAGTTCCATAAGTGGAAAAAATGGTAATTTTTCTTTTTTTGTGTGTTAATGGAAAAATAACAGATGACAAAATAACAACCAGCCCCTTTACTTCCATACACACACACATGCACACACACACTTATACATCCCCTCCAAGAATTCAGTTAAGGACATTAAAAATATTACCAGTTTTACCTGAATTGGCCTTTAAAAATGTTATTAAAAACATCTCAACATTAAAAAAAAAAAAGTTTCAATTTTCTGAAAAAAGATTAACATGACTTCAGTTATTCCAGTTTTTAGCTGAAATACTGGTTATGTTCAGAGGATGAGATGCTTGCTATTCGTATTCTCATTTGCCATGAAGATGTAGATAAGCATGGTTTTGTTTTGGCAGAAAAATTCTGCACAAGTATGAAAGCTTTCATACATAGTGTTGTCCTTCTCAATGAATGTAGTATTTGCTGATGAGCTCATCTGCTGACATGAGATTTATCACGTACGTTCCATTACAAATGTTTTCAAAGAAAGAATACAGTCGACTTGCTCTTCCACATCCTGTGTTCTACTGGGTTTAAACATGAAGAGGAGTATTTTCCTTTAGATACCATGCTCCTGGTTTTAACAGTTCATATAAAAAGGAGTTCTGCACAGCCTTACTCCAGCTAGTCATGGCTAAGCTCCCGGTTCCCAGTGCTGAACTAATATAGATTTACCCAGCGTACACCTGTCAATCATCATCCAGATTAACTAAAAATAAAGTGCTTCTAGAATACAGGTAGAGATGAGCTTCTTTTGGTCCTATACAAAGTCTATATTAAGGCTTTTGCAGTACACTGTAACTAACAAGTACTCATTTAGGAGCGTTAAAGCTGTGATAAAGTATCTGTCTATGTATCAGTGACTTTAATCTTAAGATGACAGTTCAAGTGTTTCGATTATCTGCATATACATGTTAAGGGAGAGAGTACTCAAGCACACATACACCACCCTAGGAGTCATACATGCACCACTCAAGTCTTTCCTGCTAGGACCAGAGTCCCTTCGCAGTGGGCGACTCCAGTGAGTTGACAGGTGCCCCTTTCAACTTCTTTGCCTCAAGTTTGCCCCTACGTTTCCCATAACAGAGTCTCAGATACCAAATCTTACATAAAAAAGAATAATTTATTCAGATGATACAGCAGGAAAAAAACAGTTTGAGCTGGGTGCCTCTGGAGAATGACCCTAAACAAAGCAATCCCTGGGCAATTATACCCTTACAATTTGTGTACCCACCCATCATGTGTTCTTCATGTGCCTTTTACCCGCCTTTTTGGTGATGGTGGTGGTTTCTGGTCTGGGATGTTCTAAGACCTTATTGGATCCTGTCTCTGTCTCCAGGCAGGTTATTTACTGCTCTCGTCTTGTCGAGTTGCAGCTTCTGCTGATGGTTGTAGGCTCCTTATCTTCAGAGCATGAGAAACTGAAAAGGCCTAGACTTGGGATAAGCACTGCTTAGCAACAAATAAAACATCAGTACGTTATCAACATTATTTTTGTGCTAAACCCAAAACACAACACTGTACCAGCTACTAAGAAGAAAATCATCCCAGCCAAAAGCAAATCTAGGTGAAAGTTTGCAGCTTGAAGTCTAAGGCTTCAGCAAATCTAGCTACTCATGCTAAGTAAGTAATGAACAATGTAACAAATTGCTCAACATTATGCTGTAACCCCTGCATCCTAATACTAAATGATTGACACTGATCAACCTACTCTTAAAACTTACTCTTTTTAAGCTAAACGTCTAGTATTTTTTAACACATGTATGCTGACTGCTCAACACTAACAAAATATTTTGCTGGAAACAACTAAACATTCAACTTAAGCTTCAGATTTTTAAAGGTTTCAGCTCTGTGACCTCAAGTAAGCAAGATTTTCCTGCAAGAAAATCCAAAGATACCTTGATTACACAGGTAACCAGTGTATCTGCTGCACCCAAAGGGGCAGTACACCTAATGAGACACAGTTACTCACTGACCTTCCCAACACCTGTAAGAGAACCATTAAGTTGCTCCACAGAAACAGGGTATTGCTACTCAGGCAGCGCAAGGAGTGTATTTCACTCCCAAGCATAATACTCTTAAATGATGGGGTGAGCTGCCTTCTCTTCTGATCACCCACCAGCACATTGTAGGCACAGTAAAAGTAATGAAAAACCTGTGTTCTCACAGACCTAAGCCACAGCATTTATTTGACAGAGTAAGTCAACTGAGTACCACAGCACCAAGGAATCCTTGCTGTGCTTCATGTCTTTGGTACTTGTTTCAAACAAACAAACAAAAAAATCAACAAGTGAAAATAAGCATCTGTTCCTTTTCAACAAGCAAGTTTAATTTTGAGGCTTTATTGATGAGGATTGTGTAGAGACACAAAAAATGGTGCTGCTAAGAATTTATGCAATGAGTTAAGCACAGAGATGGTGATTGTATAGTCTCATTCGCAAGTACTTGAATGCCTACTGTTACAGGAGACAGATCATTAAAAAAAGCAGGTATTATCAAATTTTGAGTTAAAATATAAGCATGTAGAAGGAGACAGCCTCTGACTAATGAGCACTTCTAAAGTTCTACCCTGAAACAATTATAACTAAATATTGTTTCAACTTGTCAGTCATAGCCATGTTAAAACCAACAGTTAATTAATCTAATAAATTTGTAAATGTCTCTAGTAATGCAGGGAAACAGGATACCTGCTAAAGAATAGGAGACAGACACAAGATTTTAAGTATTCTAAGACACACTTTGTGTCTTTTTACCTCTTGTTTTCTATTGCACAGGAAGAACAGAGAATAAATGTTTCTGAACATTCACCTACTCAATTACAAAACTTCTAAAAAATCACTTTTTCTCTCTAAAGTCAATAGTAAAAAAAGTTTATACCAGCTAAACATAATGATGGGTTTGCTGCTGTAGCATTTTTACCAATGCCTAGTCCCTGTATTCTATGAGATACTCTGGATAAATCTGCTGCTTCTCAAAGATGACAAAGATAGAAGGGTTTGAAAAGTTATTCACACAACTATCATAGAAGTTTTGGCTGTCCTTCAAGGGAGGGCGAACATAAGAAGAACTACCAAGAGTGAACTCCCCGACCAGCACACGTGCCACAAACATGGTCTTGGTGTATGAGTCTTCTCTGCAGTAGTTGTCAGAATAAGATGCATCCCTTGCAAAATAGCTTCCTGCAGAAGAGACACCAAGACAGAGTTGATAAGACACCAGAATTTCAGGGAAGGAAGTGATACAGTGTGAAAGCAAATTCATAAGCAAAGACATTATGCAGTTCACAAACAACCTTTCCAAAGCCTTCTCGTCTCCTGTATGTCCTTCTTCGTAAAAATGATCACTATGTATTACCTACTTTTATTCTTCACAGCACACATTAAAAAGCCATATAAGTAATGTTTGAAATGTTATGATATTCCTCAAGAGGATTTCTTCCTGACCCTAGATGTCCACCTTCCCTAATCACACCCAACTTCCTCTCCTGGAAGAGGCCACTAATGTTCATTAGAACATTTCTCAGTCGCTAAGTATTCAGTCAGATGGGTGGGTAGTCAGTCAGCCTGACTCTTGGGTGTTCCACATGGTATGTTGATGTATTCCTGTACACAGGACAAGGTAAAGGAAAATCATTTGCTAACATGGCGAAAAGCCTGTGATGAGGATGGTATTTATGTTTCTGGGAAAAAAAAAAAAAGTAAAATAATGCCACATTGCCCTCCTGTAGGAGCTTGGAGAAACTGAAGAAGTAAGTCTGGCCTCTCCTAAGCTTATCTTTTCTTGCAAGGACAGAGTGGAGCACAGAGGCCGAGGCCTTTCAGTAAGCCTTGGCTCCAAATCATCATTGCTGAAGTCAGCTATGTTGTCCACATCATCACAGAGATAAGACCTAGATTGGCTGAGTGCCCTCTTTCTAGCTTTACACCCCTGCAGTAACTACTGAGAATTTTTTAGCAAGTCTAGGGTTAATGAAAGAGCTGAAAAACAACCTTTGCCGTAGACTGTCCCATGAAGGCCACAGATCCTCCAGTCAAAGTTTTGCTGACAGATGGCATCAATGTATTTTTTACTAGTCCCATGAAATAAAAATCGCTCATCCACAGCCTTTCCACCACTGCTCTTCTGCATTTGTTCCTTCTGCCTGCAACAAGAAGCAGTATCCTTGCAGTTCCACAGTGGCTGTACCCAGACAGGTTCCAGCCATACTAGCACTCAAAGACAATTTTATACAGAGTATATTTGGAAAATCCTTAAGTTAAGGCCTAAACTTTGGGCATACAGAGTATCTTGCTCTTTAGCTTCATACAAACATGCTTTTGTTATAAACAAATGCCTCCAGATATATAACAACAAGAATGTTCAGCTTCATTCGCTGCCTAATTGGAGAGGGGGAGGAATCTTGCCATTATTTTCTTCCTAAAGACGAGTTCCTGTTAAGGCTTTCCCTTGGTGAGTTTTGCATTTAGTTTTGAAGACAGTTTCAATTTTGACCAGCTACAAAGAAATGTTTGTGTCAGATGTGACCGATTACCAGCTTCAAGCCTTCAGTGGAAGGCAGCTGTTCTGGACACAGGCCTGGCCGAACTCAGAACTGCTTCCTCAGGAGCAAGGATTCCTCCCACAGAGCTCATCTGGCTATTCCAAGCCTTTTATCTTGACCAAAAGTTTTGTCTATACACTTTATCTACACGTCGACCCTGGCTAGGTATTTCAGTGGGGGAGTGGAAGCAGATTCTCAAGCGCAGCTGCATTTCAGGAATGTGCTTGTCTGTCTTTAGCATAAAGTAACTGCAGAAACAACACATTTCATGCACACATACCAGAGCAGTGTTTTGCACATACCACTGATACAGCTCCCAGAGAGACGGGTTCTGAACTCTACGAATCCTTTTAATAACTGCTCTGAGCATTGTGCGTTGAAAGTTCACCTTGACTTTCTTGTATTCTTCAGAAGAACTGTCAAGCTCAACCAGCTGTAATGAAAAGATTAAAAAAGCTACTCTCATCTTTTACTAAATCCTAACAAAGCCACCCTACCTAGCAGTACTAGTCAGACCTTTAAAGTCTTTTCTGTGAAGCAGAGGTATGAGCAGCAAAAATACTCTTGGAAAAAAGGCAGATTAGAGATACCCGCTCTATAGAAGTGAGCTCTTACCTAGGGAACATTAACTCTGGGGGTTTAAGACACCCAGATTTCTCTCTCACAAGATATTAAAGGAGCTGCATGCTTTTGTGCAGACACCCAGCCCCTTTCAATATTTGGGCCAAGACCATTTGCATGTATATATCAAACAGTACCTAAATGCATAGAAGAAATGAGCACATAAACTTAAAAAAAAGAATGGAGAATTTATGTTGCAGCAAATCAAAGAGTATTTCTACATCCATGCTTTTTAAATCTTTATAGTTTATACTTCCTACAGCCAGTGAACATGAACTGCACTGTCTGTTATGGTTTCACATAAATTGAAAAGGCTTTATTCTAATCAACCATTTTAGGACAAAGTAGGGACATACTGCCAAAAATCAGTTCCTTCCATGGCAGTTCTGAAAGCAAGCAAAGTTTTATACTTGCATGTTTTCCCTAGGAACATCAAGAATGTCAATGTTTGCCTTCCCTATTTTTTATTGACAATTTCTCAAGGATTTTCACTTTGCGAGGTAGTGATTTTCAGGCTTCATTTAAGACGACCTTTTCTCTAGGTATAATCACTAGAGTTGGCAGAGGTGGCGGTGGAGGCAAGCAGGAATAACTGGGTGTTTTACAAAGGTAAACATGTTTATTCCTCTGGAGTTATGGTACATTTTAATAAATGATGCCAGCCTGAACTCTGCTGATTTCAGCAATGCTCCATAGCCATACAGCAGTCTCCTTAGACACAGCTCAGGGAATGGCTACCCTGAAGTTTAGAGGCATGATTTATCTCTGATGCTTCAGTCCACATTGGACTTCAAAGCTACGTATCTTGGGCACCAGTAACAGTCCTGCTCATACAGCATAAGCTTATGGCAAATTTGCCATGGAAAGGGATTATTAGTAGCAGTGAAAAATCAATGTTACCAGGGTTATACTGCCACCATTTGTTAGTTCAAATCTGGGTCTAGTTTCTCCTCTAGGTCTGCCCAGTGTGGTATCAGGCTCAAATTTACCAACACTTCTGCATTATATTACATAAGAAACAGCCATCTACAAAGGCACACGAAACAGTGAGCTTGTGCTTTAACAAACCTGTATGCAACAAAACTGATGGAGAGAAAAAACGAAAAGCTTCAAACCTTGAATCCCACTTCAGGCAGGGCAGATTTGTCCCAGTGAGCTGGAACGCCCTTAAATTCTTCTGTATGTTTAAAGCCCCTATACATTACAAGACATCACAAATAGGTAATTAAAACAAACCAAATCCCTACATTTTATGTACATAAGATACTACTAAACATTTTTGCCAAGTTTAGGGAGAATATAGGCCACTGAACATACTGAGAAATATTTCAAAATTGTCTTTTCAGTTCAGTACATGAAAATATTTGCTCCAAATCATCATGTCAAGACTTACAGCAGGAAGCAAGATGTCAAATGAGAAAAAAATAAAATACACTGAACTAAACATGAAAGTAGTTCTCTTAGTTGCAAAGAGTTGAATGTGTACAGAGAAGCTCCACTACACTGGAGTAGATAAATAAAATATAATATGACAGAAACAGGATAGACACAGCCCTCCCCTCTACTTCCACCCCAATTTTAATTCGTGTGTTTAGCTGCTCTTTTCTGTGTAGTTTAAGCAAGAACCGTGTGCTGCAAGTGAATGCATAAAAAAGTTCACTGTTACATGCAGTTATACAAAAATTCTCCCCTTGCAGACTCCCACCTTTTGCTCCACCTGTAACAACTACTTTCCTCTCAGACTGGCTGGTTGATTTTAAAATAATTGTTTCTAAGCTTGTACTTAGCTTTGAAAATTACTGATCTCAGATGTCAGAAAGGGCTAGTATGCATATGCTTCCATCTCTATCAACTGCTCTAACAAGACAGTTCCCTCTAATCCGCAGGTCTCTACAACATTGCTACATGTTAAATTATTTTCTATGCTTCTACGTTTTCCTTGTCCAAGCCCAAACTTCATCCAAGCCCAAACTTCCATTACCCTCAAGAGTTCTGCGTTGCCTGAAAACTGTTGCCCAAGCTGTAATACCGTGCTGGCTAAACACTGCTGTAGTAAAGGTATGTCCCTTCCACTCTCAATTTCTTTTACAATTGTCTTAACAGCTACTCCTTCACCTTATTCATATCCTTGAAAGACACTGCATTAATAATGCACTAAATCCATCACCTCAGAATGAGCAGTTGCAGTTTACCTTGCTTTTGTCTTTTCTACCTCTGTCTGAGAGACAAATCTAGGTCTTCTGCAAACAACTCTCTCTGTTCCATAGCGAAGGTTTTTCTGAATCATGGCTGGGAAAAACAAAACAAAAACAAACAACAAAAAAAACCCTGAATAATCAGAAAGATGTTTCAGAAAGCCTTCACACTGCAGCAAAACTTGTCACTAAGTTGTTTTGTCACAAATTTTGACTAAAAGGTATTAAGCTTTTTTTCTTGCTATAAAAAGGGAAGTCTGAGCAGGATGTGGAACCCACAACCTATCTGTACAAACCAAGAAGGGTTTCAGTTTCAGTTTTGCTCTTAACTTTAGAAGGAACGATAGACACTGGTAGCTATTTTTTCTTCATTGTTCCATCAGCCACACTTAAAATATGTATCTACCTTTGCTCTATGGATTGCATCCCTTCCTTCTCAATTTGCAATCAAGATACTGTTTTCCTACATGCAGTTGTAGGTTTCAAACCCTATAAATGCAACGCAAGGCCATTCATCTTTATTGACCACCTACAGAAACAAGTCACAGCAGTCTGAATTTTAGAGGCATTTCTTCTGGATCTTGGAACCTCTGTAGCTACTGCCACATCTTACTAGCAACTGAGAGTCAGCAGCAGCCGGGAGAATAAGGCCTCATCTTCAGAGGGGCATACACAGGGAGAAAAACAAAAATAAAACTCTCAGCAACACCAAGCCTAGAAACTAAGTTTTGGAAGACATCCACATTGTATATGTTTTCCTAAGTTACTAAAAAAGCTCAAACCTTAGAAAAAGTATGATTTACTATGCAATTTTTCCCTTCTAAGCCAGACAAGTTTTCCCAGCCTATAGAGAAGATTACAGCACTGCTTTCAATTGAACCACAAACAACATATCACATGAGATAGTAATGGAGAGTTGGATCAAAGGCAACTACACCAAAATTACAGTCTAGGCAGGCTGGCTCCCACCACCACTGTTCCCCATGATTTTTGAAAACAATGCCTGGAAAGGCAACAGCTCAGAGAGGACAGAGCCATCACAAGTGGCTTAAATTTCCTGAACTCTTGGGGAAACACCTCTTCCTACCTACTTTGACTTAGTCAAGGTATTTCCTCAGCCTTTCCAGACAGGCAGAGTTATGAAGAGAAAATAGCTACATAGATCTTGCAATGCTAGGTATTGTCTGGGGCCCTACACCTTGCACAAGTATTCAAGTTTCTGCAAGCCAATTATTAAAGCACAGCAGAAGCTGGCTTCCCAAGTCTTCCAGAAGTTTCTCACCATTTGTCACACTTGTACTTGCTAGCAGACATTTTTAAACCTAGCAGAGGAACTTCTCAAAAATAAAAGGTTTGGAGAAATAGGAATGCCATTTTGCTTATGTGAACAGCTCTTATCCTGAGAACTTTGATAGAAGCTCTGTCTCTGTAAGCACTGCAGTTCAAAGTTCAAATTTCTCTCTCCAATCTCCTGTAGTCACAAAAGACCTGGGAGGAAGAGAGGGAGAAAACAAAGCAAATGGAACCTACCTCCAAAATTGAGTTCATATTCATGTCTTCCAGCTTTGAAGTTCAGCTTTGAAGCAGCTTTGGCTATATAAGCTTTCTCCAGGTCAGCACTGGAGACAGTGGCAGCTGCATGATCATCACTCTGTAAGCCAAAACCAAATTTAAAAAAAAAGATTCTCCTGGTCTGCTACATACAAGTTTAAAAACCAACAACTGCCATATCGTATGGTGGCTGCAGTATGTATCAGCTTTGGGGCACAATAGCAGCGATCAGGCAAAAGCCATGTATTAAGCAGTTGAAACTGCTTAAAACAAACCAAGCAGTGTTACGAAGCCCAAACTTCCACTGCAAAGTGCATGCTGTGAACACTACTGCTGAGACTGCACGTTCACCAACTAGACCTTAGCAAAAACACACAAGAGTACCGCTGGGACCTCAAAAAAGGAAGTTTTAGTCAGCAACAATTAAAATAATGCATTCACATGATCCTGATATCTCATATGACTCACTGAAGAACTATCTGTCAATAATACTTCTGACTCACCAGTGAGCACTTCCCTACCCGAACCAATCAAATTCACTAAGAAAAGTTCCCACTAGGCCTCTAATGTCCATCTGCACAGTATGAGTGGGAGGGAGGGACAAGATGACAAAAGAGGGGGAAGATATAAACAGTGTGCACTTTTGAGTAGTTCTGCACTTTTAACACAGAGTTGAGAGTTTCCCCATATCTCCACACTTACTTTTTTTCCATATTCCTGCCACTGGCCATATTCATCTTTCCAGTACCAGATCCATTCTGTTGTAAGAATGAAGTGAGGCGGTCTGGCCACAGAGGAGACTGTAGAAAGACGTCTAACCTTTTCAAATCCACACCACATATTTGAAAAATGGATACATGACAAGATAGTAGGACCAATAAAAAAACTATTAAAAAAGGGAGGAAAAAAGAAAAGTCAGAACTGTTTGAGAAGCTTTACACATGCGTTTAGAAGCCCACCACACATTTGCAATTTTACAAATTTACAAGTAAAGCAGAACACAAAGCTACAGTTGCCACAACAATCCCAGCTCTGTCTTCTGTCTGCATGTACATTGCATTACAGCATTAGGTCTCACACTGGTTCCATGGGCAATAACCATTACCAGCTCATAAATTAGTGCGTTACAGAAGATGAACAGAAACAGTGGAAAACGTACACTGTCTTCTTCTTGCTCACCAACTATATACTAAAGAGAACACTGTCATAACATGGCTTCAAAGAGCCTCTCACGTAACATAAAAGGGCTAGGTAAATTCTCCAGCGTGGGACACAACCTATTGGTACAAGCCCTTTCCAATACCCCTTTTGTGCTACATAACCAGTTTCCAAACTTTTAAAGGTATTTCCATATTCTCTCTCCAAGCACACAAGGTATTCTACGAGTTCCTCAATATGGACTGGGGGAAATAGGGGGCAGGAGGGGCTAATCTCATGCTGCCTGTCCACTCTGCAGCTCAAAAGGTGAAATAGGTTACTTCTAACCATGGGGTCAAGCTGTGCATTGACAAGTTCTAACCAAAGACATATTCCCCACAAATACTTGTGATAAAATCACCATTCTCTGCAGTTTTCCAGCCATTCTTAGTAAGGATTAAGACTTCTATGGTAGCAACAATAGGAAGTATTCATACTTTTTTTTTTTTTTACAGCAAAGAATACTGAAGTCTATAGGTCAGTCACACAAAGTAACTGTGGTGGAATGACCCTGGCCAGCAACCAAGTATCCACACAGCTGCTCGCGCACTCCTTCTCCCCTCCCCTGCACAACAGAAAACAGGAAGGGAAAAAGCATTGTGGATCAATGCAAAGGCAGTTCAATAGGTGATGAAGGGGGGTGGTGTGGTGTAAATAAACTTGCCAAAAAAAAAAAATAAAGCAAAGCAAATTGCTCACTGACTCCCCAGGCAGCCTAATGCCCAGTCAGCCACCAAACAGCAGTCACTAGGAAACAAAAACCCAACCCTCTTCTTCCTCTGCCTCAGGTTTTATTGCTGATTATGACATTATACAGTATGGGAGATCCCTTTGGCCAGTTCAGGTCAGCTGTCCTGGCTGATCCTGTCCCAATCCCTTGCCCACCCAAAGCCCACTCACTGTAGAGAAGCAAGGCAGAGCGGGAAAAAGAGAAAGCCTTGACCCTCTGCAAGCCCTGCTCAGCAACACTTAGAACACTGGTGCACTATCAGCACTGCTTTAGTCACAAATCCAGAACACAACACTATATGGACTAAAGTTAACTTCTTCCCAGCCAAACCCAGTATATGGTAACCCAGAGGGTTCTACATGGGCTCCAGGCACAAGTAAGTTGCAATGGATCAGATCTCCACCAGCAGTAGATCAGCAAAGTGAGGACAGCAGAACAATATATCTGATGAAGCTACTTATGTAGTGACTGCAAGAGAATCACAGTAATTTATAGCCACTAAGGGCCTGGTCCAATATAGCAAACTCCAAACATTATTAAATTTTATGAGAGTTTATACCTGGTGTTATTGGGGTCACAATATGACTTTTCTATTTCTTCCATATTCTTCAAGTCCTTCCAGGTACCATCATCAGACATCTGCCATCTATATGGCAAGTGAAAATGAGTTCTGATACATCTATCTATAAAAATTTTAAAAAAAAAAGAGATGCATTATTTTTATTTTTACAGGCTATGAGAAAAACTCCGACATTTCAGGACTATACACCTAGCTGCTGAAAGTATCAAATGCATAGCTATGGAAAGTGTTCACCTGTGGAATCAGTACAAGCAGTAGCTCTGAATTTTTCAGCGTGAGCAAGCAGACCTTAATTTTTGAGCTAAGGTAGAAGTTCATTCTCTGTACTACTAGATTCTCTTTGTGCATCAAAACTGCTAGCAGGGGCTCAGTGGTGAAGGACTGTTCTGGCTTCTCAGCTTCAGAGACAAAAATGTACAGTTAATTGAAATCACAAGCTCATACAAGACTACTATTTCATATACAGAATAACAGTGTAGATAAAAATATCTATGCTTAATCACCTAGTCCCTAAGTGGTATTACTGAGGGAGAGAAACCCCAAAAACACAAAAACCCACACCTGTTCATATGAGAAGGTGTGCAGTACATCAGGGAGCTACTACAGGTCAAGAACATCAAGAAGGAAAAGGATGACAAAAGGACACCCCAACAAGAAAGCTGGCACAGCAGCCTTCTTTCTGGACAAGCTGGAACATTCTGGAAGGGAAACAACTCGGACAGATGTAACTGAAGAGTGCTTGAAGAAACAAGGAGTAAAGTAGAATTCAGAGTATCTTCTGTAGCTTTATGGAAATAGGACTCCTATCATTCCGCAATCCCTTAGGTGACCACAGGTGGAGTAGCCAACCTCCAACACAGGCCAATACACACTTCAGAGTAAACCAAAACAGCTCCTCTGTTTGGTATAGCCGGTAGGTCCAACACTTTCCTACCAGCACTCAAGATTACACTGAGATCTAAGCATAAGCGCTGAAGTTTCCCCTTCATGTAAAAGATGTTTATCACTTTCTCTGCATGAGAAAAGCAAAATGACCAGACTTGCTACAGGCACGACCTACCTTTAAAGCCACAACTTCTGTACAGGTGATACAAACAGATCTGTTCCAAGTCATCATCATTTTTAGTTGAGGACTCTTGGCTAGAGCTGTGTTTTCTCTCTGGGGGGGGGAATTGTAAGCCTCGTTAATACATGTTATTTCAACAAGCCCTTTTAATAGTGCACCTATGGGTAGGCAAGACACCTAGAACCAGTGTTTATAACAATGTAACTCCATTCAGCTCCAGAAAGACACTGAAGTCTTTGATAACCTCATATACTCAAAAGTCCTATCCCTTTATCCATCTTTTCTAAACTTGACTTTCCAGTAACTGCTAAATTCCTCAGATACAGTTTTCAGCTATCACCACAAAATAGGAATAGAATCCAATGCCTTTACATTTTGACATACACCTGAGTTAACCATGCATCCCATGTAGCTGTTCATATTGGTAGCTATAACATCTGCATGCTTAATTAAAGCATGCCTAAGGAAACAAAAAAGGGAAGAAGGAAGTGTAGGGAGAATAGATAAACACACAGACTTGGATTTTTCATTCAGTTATCCTTTTCTTTCCTGCTAAATTTTACTTAACTTGCAATGCTAAGAAACTTCAAAAGAAAAGAAGAAACAAAATGTTACGTCTTTGACAAGTAACTAGGATATTGCTGTCGGTGAATTCTTATGCTAGATAACCACTAGTTTAAAAAAAATTATAAAGTAGTTTATAATCACATAAGTAAATGCCACCCCTATTCTTAAGCAGTTCTCTGCCCTTGTTTATGTTTTTTTAATCAAGAAAAAAATATAGATCTCCTTATTTCCAGTTCCTGTTACGCTTTTCTAACCCCAAATTCAAGATTTTTATAAACACCAAGAACTTTATTTTCTTGGGAACCCATAATTGCCTTGAAATTCACCTCACTTGTCAAGACACAAATCTCTCATCAGTGAGATAGGTGCAAGGTCCCTCCTAAAAGACACATCAAGATGTGAATTCAGTTTTCTTTTTCTTAATGACATCTGTGATAACATCACATTCAGTACAACGACTCTTCTTCTGATGTTTTCAAAAGATGATATAATTTACCTTTGCAGGGTGAAGACGTGGTATCTTCTATGTCATACATGTTTCTGTTGCCATTTTTTATGTCATACATATTCCTATAAAGGGACAGTAGCTTCTCAATAGTGTATGAATTCATTCCCTGTCTCTCCAGTTTCTCAAAACATTCTGACTTTAGCAAGTCATGGGATCGCTTGCAGCTGCTGCCAAATCTGCACTGTCCCTGCAGAAAGAACTGGCAAACATGCAGCTTGGTGCAGATCTTTTTATAGGTACAAGATCCATAAGGTCCATCACCTTTGTTATAATGCAAGCAAACCTTGGGTAGAGGGGGAGGGGGGAAAAAAAGAATGTAAAAATTAAAGTACAGTGTGCTCATATAGACCGAATTAATGATTTTTAAAATATTACAGCTACATGTTTATATTTGCATTTAAAATATTTATACAAGTTTCTTCTTTGTTCTTGTTTTCCAAGTGATTACTTGAAAGCTTTTCCTGTTCCCTGCTAATATCTATAAAGATCTTGCAACGGACAAAAACCATCTTACAGACATTCTCAAACAGATGGATTTTGTTTTAAGACATAAATGTAGGACAGTGGATTTTCTTGTGTCACTACCTGAACTCTTTGGTTTTCTAGTTTTGGAATAGTGAATTTTTTTGATCCGAATTTGATGGTAACTGGATCTGGCTAGGATGGAGTTAACTTTCTTTATAGCAGACTGTACTGCGCTATGTTTTGCATTTGTGACCAAAACTGTGCTGATAACACACCAATATTTCAACAACTGCTGAGCAGCACTTGCACAGTGTCAAGGCCGTCTCTTTTTCTCCACTCTGCCCTCCACCCCACCCCAGGCAGGTTGGGGGCAGACAAGAAGCTGAAAGAGGACATAGCTGGGACAGCTAGCCCAAACTGGCCAAAAGGATATTCCACGCCACATTCATTCCCTAAAATTAAAAAAAAAAAAAAAAGGAGGGGCATGCTGTCCTTCTTACAAGGTGGCCCCAGCTCAGAGACTTGCTGGGCATCAGCCTGCTTGTGGGAAGTGGTGACTAACTTTGCAACACTTGTTTTCTCTCCTCTTTCCTCCACTTGCTAAGCTGTCTTTATCGTCACCCCCAAGTTTTGTCACTTTTGTTCTTCTTTTCCCTCGCTTGTTCTGCTGGGGGCAGAGGAGAGGGGAGTGAGTGAGGGCTGTGTGTGTGTTCAGCTGCCTGCTGTGGTCATCCCACCACAGAGGAGAACAGAAGGTGCAGATTTAAAGTTTCAATTTTGCATTACGCTAACTAAACTGACACCTAGCATCTCCAGCCAGGATCAAGCCTCTTCCACTTTGTGATGCTCACCGAAACACACAGGTAAGAAACTGCCACACTGCTACTCACCTCTGGTAAGAGGGAAGGGTCATTTTGAAGCAAGAGCTGGTGAAGTTCATTCCAGTTTAAAATCTCAAGTCCATACTGTTTTAGAACACGGAGATTGTGGTCAGAGTAGAAGCTGTGAACAAACCTGCACTCCTTCCTAGAAGTTAAGAAACCCAAGTGCAGAATAAGCGTGACAAACTAGCACTACTTTGCTACCCTATTGGTAGTACATTGACAGTTTAAAAAAGCACACCAAATCAGGCAGTTTCAGAAAAAATCTGCAGTGCTTCTTCATAAAGCAATTATGTGATTTGCCAAGCAGATTACATAATTACTCTGAGGATAATTAGCACGCTATTTCTGATTTACAGTCATTATAGCATTAGTGTAGTCTGACAATACTGGCATTTTTGACCTGAGGCTCACCACCATGCATGAGAAGACACCAAAATGCCCAAATAACGCTCCCTCCCCCTCAAACGGAGGGGTATATGCCCTAACTTCACCCAACAAAAAGCACTTAGATTTGTTGTGTGGGGGGGGGCAAAGCTTTCACCCCACGGGGGTAAGCGCCAGAAGCAAGGGGGTGAGCTGGGAAGGAAGTGTTGCAACCCAAAGTCTGTGAAACAAAAACAAACAACAAAAAAAAGTAAAAAGGGGCATTTCTGACACGGAAAAGAGCAGCGAAACCTTTATTGAAGCCTCCTGCCACCAAAGGGA